TTTGTCGACGTGTTAATCTAGGATGCGATCGAACCGGTGCGAGAAATTCTTCATTCCTCGAGCTCTCTTCTAAGCCCCACGACACGTCGAAATTAAAGTTCCCTTGCTCGTCGAGTCATGATTCCACGCCTGGTGACTTTTTTTCTGCCCGGTCGGCTAGCACGAATCGAGAAAAGCAGAATAATAAACCAATGCGCGCGAAAATAATCCCGGAGATGGCGCCACACGTGGCAACGTACAAACAGAACGGGGTTAGGGAACAAGACGGAGAAAAAAAGATACTTTTGGTGCTTTCAGCTAGATCCAAGGCTTCTTCCAACGATCCCCGCGTGTCGAACATCCTCCTCTTTTATATTTCTCGGATCGAGTCGTCGTTTTAGAGGCTATATTTCGGTTTTTCAAATTGTTAGAAATTCGTAAAATTTGTTCCACGATTTGTTACGATTATTGTTACTCGAAATGTTGGAACAATGGGTTGCAATCCGATCCTGGTCGAACAGTCTGAAGGGTATTACAGTATAGAGGGCTCTGTTTAGTCTGTCGACCTTCAGGCTGTTGCAACTCGATCCCAGTCAGTCGAATCGCAAGTTGAAAGACGTCGCTGCGAATGGTGATTTAGTCCCGTCGATGTTGGCGAAGTTTCGTGGGTCCAGATAATAAGAAAATATTAACGGACAACGCCATATCGTAGCTCTGTCTGTCCCTCGTTGTCCAGCACTCTCGGAATCAATACCCAACGCCGTTTCGGTACGTTGTTTGGCGGACAAGGAGGCAACGTTGTTGGTTTGCACGCGCGTCCGAACACAGTTGCCCAATAATCTTTTGACCAGACACGGCTTCTGTGCATCGCGCAGATGGTTTTCGACGTTATGAAACCACCGACCGCGGTCAGCGGGGCCCGACGTAGCCTCGTTTTTGTTCCCGCGGTCGGTCACGCGGCTCTTTTTAGCCATTACGATACTGGAAAACTCGTCTTAGGCTCGCTTGTAATCTTCCACGAGCCGATCAAAGGGTAGCGTGTTCCATCCACGAATATTCCTCGAATAATTTTACGCTTGGATATTTTAAAGTTTCGCAATAAATTCTGTATTATAAATGAACACATGTATAATGTTTATTTATACAAAATTATAATAAAACTGATTGACTGATAACAAAAATATATTGATTTCACTCTGCATAGCATCGTGCTTCCACGAGAAGAAGGCACAGCGTGTTTACATCCCCACTCTTGCTGCAGTCCGCTGATTGGCTGTTTTCGACCAATGCCTGCGAGTCAGCGGACTGCAACAGTAGTGGGGATGCAAACACGCTGTGCCTTCTTCTCGTGGAAGAATGGTACATAATAGCACTCCACAAAAGTATTCGAACCAGTGTAGATTTTGTTAAAAAAATCGCATATTATGGTAGCTGTTTACATTCTGTCAATTTTCAAGTATTTCGTGTCGTCTTTCTACCAGTTTTAAAGTGATATTTGGTTCTATACTATTCCGAACTTTCACAATTTTTTTTTTTATTTTTTATGCTATCTCAACATAACTTTTGCCCTCTTGGTGTAATTTAAAAATTATTTGACGCTCTTCTAGAGCAGTCTCGGACTTCCTTCGACTTATTTCTGATTGTTGATGTTCTTTTGACACAATTTCGAACTAGACTACTTTGTTGGCGCTCATTAAAGCGACTGTGAACTGTGGAAATTATTTTCGACGTGTAATGATATTCGAAACAAAAGAAAATCGACTTTGCTAAGAATAATTAGAGTGGAATCAATATATTTTTGTTATCAGTTAATCAATTTTGTTATAATTTGGTATAAATAACCTTTACCTTTAAAAGTTTATTGCAAAATCTTATATGCATCGTCTGATTTCGACAAATTTCTTCCACGAGCAATTAAGGCACGAATACTTATGGGATTAACTGTAGACTAATTCCAGCGTCAGTTGCTTTGCCAAAGTTGCAAAATTACCGCTGGTATCGTTTGCCAGGGGAGATTGATTTTTCCCGGCGTGCTCGCGCGGGCGTCGTGAAAATTGGAAAAATCGCGCGACGTCTGTTAGGCTCCCTACGGAATTGCTTACCGAGGGGTCTCAGTTTCGATTTTCCGTAAAGGAGACTGTACGACCTGGGGGCAGATACAGTCGGCGACACAAGTTCGCGTACGCTCGTTTAATAATAATATTATCGTAAGTAAAGTTACTCGAAGCTTTTACAACCGAGTAATTAATTTGAAAGAATAATATACCATATAAAAGATTGCCTTTGGTTATAAAATATTATGTGTTAACATTTTCCATGCACCTGCTCTGCGTGTAAATTTATTTGCTGCTCTTTAATGCGGAACACGCTTAATTCGAACGGAGATTCGCGGGAGGGAAAAATAATTTTTCTATTTTTTTTTATAAAAATCTGTGCACTCCGCTCGTGTCAAAAAGCTTTCGTCGAAATCACGGACCCGGTCCGCCGTGGAATGCAATTGGAATCTATACGGGTGGCTCGTTTCCATAATTCTCTTTGTGCAGATTGAATTGAAAGGTTGACGTTCTTCGTATCGCGTCGACCGGGCGTTTCTTGCTTTCTATTTATTTTTCAGCCGGTTTCTCGCCAACCTTCCCCGTCCGCAGTCACGAAATTGCAATCCGTACACAATGACTCCACTGTGCCCCCGACGTCGGTTAGTAGCTTACGTGTTTCATCGCCGGATGACGTAGCATGGGAGGCTATTATGATAATAGTACTTTCATTACGAAAGGTCTTCATTATCTTACCGTGATTCGATCTACACGGATCGATATCATTTCCCCTTTTATATTTCATTAACCACGCGTTTAGACAAAGTTTTCACGATCGTTGAATGCGTCTGGACGGTCAAATTTTTACATCAAACCAAAGATCTAAAAACTGAACATAACCTTTAAATTGTAATCGTTCCTACGTTGCATTATTTCGAAAAATTGAAGATTGTTGAATGCATTTGAACGTCGATTAAATTTTTACATCAAACCAAACACCTAAAAACTGAACATAACCTTAAAATTGTAATCGTTCCTACGTTGCATTATTTCGAAAAATTGAAGATTGTTCAATGCATTTGGACGTTGGTCAAATTTCTACATCAAACCAAATACCTAAAACTGAACATAACCTTTAAATTGTAATCGTTCCTACGTTGCATTATTTCGAAAAATTGAAGATTGTTGAATGCATTTGAACGTCGATTAAATTTTTACATCAAACCAAACACCTAAAAACTGAACATAACCTTTAAATTGTAATTGTTCCTACATTATTTCGAAAAATTGAATCTAGTCTTAATAAATTGTATGAAGGGAAGCGGGGGCTGGATTTGAAGAAGGGAATTAATTCATTCGAGCTACTTGCGCTATTACTCGAAGGACTCGGTAGAATCGTGTACTCGACTGGAACTTCGAGCCACTCGAATACTTCGAGTGCTTAAACTACTCTCTTCATCGCGTGCTTCGACTCTCGACGCATATCTTCTTTTCCATTGGCTCGAAGCAACAAAAAATAGAGGATGACACGAAGTTATTCAATGTCCTTGAGGGGTCAGAATATTTTGTCTCGACCGTAGACAAGCTTCATTCTCTACTTACAGTGAGTCACTGCCAATATCGTACACCACATGTGAAAATATATTTCATTCAAAAAAAGAAGTTTAGGAATGATTTGGAAAAAAAAATAAGGCAAACATATATTGTAAATATCTGTATTTATTGTGTAATAATGACAAAAGAAATTTACTATAATACAGTGCAGAAAACATCTCACAGATATATTTACAATAATAATGTCTGCCTTATTTTTTTTTACAAATCATTCCTAAAGTTTTTTTTTAGAATGAAACAGTTTCATATGGTATGTGATGCACGATTTTGACCGTGACTCACTGTATAAGGTTCTTTGATCGATGAATAGATACATTTTCACTTTTCATTAAACAACGCATGGAACATTCTTTTGTATAAATTGATGTATCCGAGCAGAGAGAACGGTAAAAGATTGCCTTCGTCGAGTATACTCTCGTTTCTTGTCGCATACATCACACACCAGGCATGTTGAGGTTAGGTTTAGAAACAACGATGCAGCTGCACCTCGGCCACCTTGCACACTTTATCTTCGTACGTTTCCTTTCTCGCGGTAAATGAATGTTTATCTTTTGCTCTCGCTCTGCGAGCTTCGCGCAATAAAAACGTTAGACGATAAAAAAAAAAAAAAAATAAAATTAATGTTGCAAGTTTGCTTTTTCGTTCGCTCGTGGAAAGTTACTAAATTGTATATCGTTGGATGGGGTGTTGCTCGGTGACGTTGGAACGTAAAAATATTTCGTGTCTCGGTTGAACCAACACGACTTGAACTTTCGGTAGCGTGTCTCGAGTTATTACGATTTGTCTCTTCGTTCGAAGCGCTCGAGCGAGAAAAAACGTTGGCTCTGTCTTCGTTTCCGAAATACGATACGTTACGTTCGAAGTCGCCCGAGTCCCGAGCGAAATTTATCGACTGTCGTCGTCTTGACGAGAAACGTTTCGTTGCAAGTTGTCCTTGTTCTCAGAACGGATGACTAATAAGAAGTAAATACTGTATACATGTATATAAATCGGGTAACAAAATCTCAATGAAATCCGAGACACGAAGGCCTGCAGTTCTCCTCGCGAGAGATTATTAACACTTTACCGACCGGTAGCGGTTAACCCTAGATCCCTAGGGAATATTTGCATTTTTTTTTATACCTATAGAAATATTAAATTAACACTTTGACTGTCACGTCAGACATATATGAATCAATTCTCAAGTTAAAAGACGCTGAGGAAAATAAATTTGGATAGAGTTTATGAATTTTAGGTTATGTAGCTTACAATGGTCTAAATATTATACGATTTTGACGTGGCAGTGAACGTCGTTAAACTTTGTGAGAGTGTTTATTATTATGACAGGCGATTAATAGGTTACCAGCCAGTGAAGTGTTAATTATTATTTTCCAGAGGTCTCCCTTGTGGCGTGCAACCCCCGGAACCAGTACCAGATCCCGACGGCGACAAACTGGCGACGATCGCGGCTCGTTTCAGTTACTTTCAAGAGAGAAAGAGCTCGCTGACCGTAGCCAAAGTCGATCTTCGCAGGAACATCAACCCGCCGGCCAGGTATAAGAATGCACGGCCGACGGTCAGGCTCAGGCCCCGTCAGGTGCTTTGCAGCAAGTGTAGATCGATTTGCAACGAGAACAGCGAGAACGTCGACGTCAGCAGAAAACGGAAGCACGACGAGCCGCAGCAAGAGAGCCAGCATCATTCGCAGCAACAACAGGTACCACTCCCCTTTGTGGATACGAAGCGAAACGTACTTCGCCTCGTCGTTTGTTTGGTCTTGTATTTACCGCGCAACGGGTAGCGAGACCCGTGCAAGAATGTTCCTCAATTGCTTTTGATGACTTGTTATTGATCTTTGAGGCGTGACGTGGCACCGGGGATCTGCGTCATCTTATTGAAAACGATAACGATATAAAATGAAATTGAACAAACGGAACTATTATCGTGAGACAAAATGATACGCCGAGCAACAATTACGATCAAATAAAGGGGAAGGGATAGTTTCTCTTGGAATGCAAGAAGAGTGGTTTCAGCGTTGGTGAATTAAACGCGGGCAGGAAGTGGCGCGAGTAAATAACTGCGCGAGAGATTAGAATAGACGCGTAAATAACTGTAACGCGGTCGTACGATTTTCAGGCGACGGAAAAGTAACGCGACGCCGTTGTTTTTGCGAAATATAGTTACATTGTAGTTTCGTTCCGTACGACGTGGCACGTTGCCTCGTAATGCATTCCTTCTTACTTGGGCACGACATGTTCTAATAATACGTTAATGGCCAGTTACTGAAATTTTCATCTCGGCATACTTTGTCATTTCCTTTCAATATTTTGCAGTATGGTAAATGTGCTAGACGTTTAATATCCTAACCTCAAAAACCCTTCGTTTGAATATTACTATTTTCGTGTGTAAATTATTAATATTCGAAACTTATATTTATTGACGATAAACACTATTTTTGATTCTTGCTTCCGTTACTAAATTCATGTTGAAATTTCGCCACGTGTTATTAGCTTGCCAATCGTTGTTAGTGTAAGAGTTTTTTTTAGTTTACAGTACCACCGCTAGGGGCGCGAATAGATTGACCGCTGGATCAGACATTTATTTTGGAAACGATACGTGTTTTATTTTTCTGTCCCGAAGAAAAGAAGTTCCATTAAAATATTTCACGCTGTAGCGATGTTACTGTCGCTGTTTTATTGTACGCCGGTAAAAAACACTTGACGTTTCGATTCGATTAGGTCACGGGTCATGGATCCACCAGAAGAAGCGATCGACGTTGCGGCCAGCAGCCGCAGAAATCCTCCAGAATACTGTTCTCCGATTGTCAGTCCGAGAACATCGCGGCCCATCAGGCAACGAAATCCTCGTCGTCGTCGGCTCTGAGTCCCGACTCGTCGAAGCTGGCGCCGTCTCTCATACCCAAAATCTCGAGACTCCAACCGAACGAGATCAATAACGCTATGCAGGGAACCGGTTAGTCAGTGTTTTCATGGAAATTAACTTTTTTATAATAAATTCCACAGAATGTCTAACCAACCATGGGAAAAATTTTAATGGGAGATTCTGGGGGGCAAAATAAGACGAAAATCAAGAATTCCAATTTGTTGATGGAGGCTTCGTTAAAAAGTTATTAACAATTAAATTCGTAAATTTCAAATCGTTCTGGAAAAATTATTTTCGGTTGTGGGGGTCAATTGCAATCATTTTTGGTGAATACACATACCTTCGAAATCGTACGCATTTTCGAGAAAAAAAATCGGGTAGGTGCTGAAGTTTTTCGGCGGAAACAAAATTTTTCAAATCGTTCTAAAAAAATTATTCTCGGTTGCGGGGGTCAGTTGCAATTATTTTTGGTCATTACACATACTCTCGAATTCCTACACACTTTCGAGAAAAAAATTGAAAAAGTAAAGGTGCCCAAATTTTTTGACGAAAAAAAAAAATTTCAAATCACTCTAGAAAAATTATTGTCGGTTGCGGGGGTCAATTACAATCATTTTTGGTCATTACACATACCCCAGAAATCCTAGGCACTTTCGAGAAAAAAATTCGAGAAGGTATGAAATTTTTCGACGGAAAACAAAAATTTCAAATCGTTTTGGAAAAATTATTTTCGGTTGCGGGGGTCAATTACAATCATTTTTGGTGAATAGACATAACCCCAAAATCCTGCGCATTTTCAAGAAAAAAATTAAAAACTGGTGGAACTTTAAATGTTAATAACTTTTTAACGAAGCCTTCGTAAAGAAATTGGTATTCTTGTTTTTCGTCTTATTTTGGCCTCTAGAGTCTCCCATTAAAATTTTTCCCACGAGTGTCAGTTTTTAAATTTCAATGGTTCGAATTTTGCAGAGAAGGTGAAGATCGCCCCGTCGTATTGGAACAACAGAGCGGAGGAAGGCGGCTCGTCGGTGAACGCGATGGAGCCGGCCGAGGAACGCATGGAGTCGACGGATTGTGACAGTAATCCATCGATGGCGTATTGCGCCACGCCCAGAAGACTTAGCAGCTCCTCGGTAGAAAGTGCTAAGATACCCGAGGAGGACGAGAAGAAAACCTTCGCCGCGGCGGACTCGACAATGAGGCCAAGAACGGCCCGAGTGCCACGGAAGAAACGATCGGTCGGATCGATGGAGGATCTGTGGGACGAGACCGTGTTCGAAGACCCGACGAGGACGGCGAGAACCACGCCGGTGATTAAAATCTCGTTCGGTGCGCAGGGCGAGGGTACCGTTCTGAAGATCCCCTCGAAGATCCAGGATCCCGAGTACGAGCAGGAGACCGACGAGGCGGAGGACCCGCAGACCGAAACGGAGAGGGATCCGCTGGAGTTGCCGAGGACCTTCGAGAACGATTACGATTTCAGCGCGGACTGCGAGGAGAACGGGCAGGAGCAAGTGGACCCGCAGAAGCAGAGCGTGAAAGACGCCAGCGCGAAGGCGGCGAAACGGGCGTTAAAAAAAGCGAAGAAAGAAGCCAGGAGGAAAATGCTGGGCGGCGTCTCGCCGGCGAGATCTCCTTGCAACGGTTCGCCACGGTAAGATGCCCGATTTCATGGTTCGATCTACCGCTGGGATAAACTCGAGTATCACTGGTTCAACGATTGGAATCATGTTGTTATTCAGACTTTGAGGGGTGGTCAGAAATTGTATCGAGTTAATAGTAATTGCAACGGTGTTGTTGAAACTGTTCGTAAGGTACAATATTACCATGAATCCTACCATGAATGCTACCTATGAAAGGAAGTCGTTACGATAGTGGTCTATTTGCAAAGACGTTTCACAAAGGGACGTAGAATAGTTGTTCGATGCATTAATTGTCTGTGCAAATCTCGTGTCGTCACAGAAGGAATATTTTAGCGTATTATTTTTAAGAAGTTAGCTCGTTTGCCCAAACATAAATAGGTTAAGCTGACTACCCGTTTGACACGCCCCGTTTGCTGCATTTTCAGGTACAATCCCACGTACGACACGTTGTCGTATCATCGTCGCAAGCATAAAGTGAAGCATAAAAAGAAGCACAAGGAGGACCGGAAACACAAGAGCCAGCCGCAGACGCAGCACCAGCAGCCATGTTTGGAATCCAGCGGCACGGATAACCAACAGAACTGGAATGTGCTGCCTGGCAGCGAATCGTACACGGCCATAAAGGAGCAGTGCCTCAAGCAAAAATTGTCTATATCTCTGAAGAGATTGAACACGAACGCGTACGCCAGATGCGACTATCCCGTGAGCAACGCGTCCTCCGGCTGCAAGAGTCCCGGGGCCAGCAGCGACGAGCTCAGCGAACAGGAGCCCGAGGTGGACGCTGGCGAAACGGCGCCAGATTTCCCGCCACAGTCGCATCCACTGATGATGCGTCTAGCAGCGACACCTGTGGAGCACTGTCTCACCGCCAGTGGCAGAAGAATGGACGTTGGCGACGTAGTGTGGGGAAAAATTCATGGTTTCCCATGGTGGCCTGGGAAGGTTCGTACAGTTTTATTTGCTAGTCTCGCCTAGAGTTTTTACAATATATTATAACCACAATCTGTTGTTCTACCAGGTTCTTAGTATCACGGTTTCCTGTAAAGAGGATGGCTCATCGTCCGGGCCTCAGGCTCACGTTGCTTGGTACGGTTCTTCGACGAGTTCCCTCATGTCATGCGACCAGTTGAGCCCATTTTTAGAAACATTCAAGGTAAAAGAGTTTAATCAATACGCATGATGCACGATGTTAAATGTCGCAAAATTGTGTGTTCGATCGGAACCACTGTGACACGGGGCATTTTGCTGATGTCTTTCTTGGCGCACGCGCGCCAGAACCATGGCCTCTGGGCGCCACTGTGCCCATCTAACGATATGGGCGCGAAGTTGATGATTTTCAATGGCTGTCGGTTTCTGTTCAAGACACGGTACAACAAGAAAAAAAGGGGCCCGTATAAGGAGGCGATACGACAGGCGCAGACCGAGGCCCGAAGTCAGATCACGCCTAACTCGACGAGCAGCGTGCTGAACGTCTGTGGCTCGCCGCGCGAGGTCAACGTCCTCTCCTAAGGGAAGGTGCACGCCACCTGACACCATTCCTTACTGCCGGGTATCGGTCGGCCGGGATTACGGATCGACGGATCGAAATCGTCGTGTAATATATAAAGATTTGTACATAATGACCTAGCGTTAATGAAATAGTTTCTTGGATCGATGTTCTTATCAGTCGCCTGGCGTTGTTCGCGATGGCTCACAGGGCGAACACGACTCGAAATGGAAGTTTACTGCCATCACTGGCGCGTTTTTTATCCTCAGCTTTTTGAGCAAACATTTAGCGCGTAAGAAGTATTTAGATAGGGTATACCTAGAGATAATGATATGTCGGCTCTCGAGAATAATTTTCGTATTAAATATGACTTCTTCGATAGCTAGACGGGTTGTCGGTCATCGACTCGGAGACCCGTTACTTAAATTCTTTATATATATATATATATAAATATATATATATATATTATATATTTGTATTACAATTCCATTGTGATTGTTATCGAAACACGCAGTGAGCTCATCCAGTGCGGGCAGTGAATCTTCGACACGACAGGCCGCAAACATTGCTGAATAAAAATGGACAATATCTCTTGACTAGTGAAGTTTCCAACATTTTAGTTTTCATCTAAAGTACTATCAATCAACTTGTGTTAAAAGTAAACGTAGAGAAAGTGAAGGAGGAAAGAAGATATTGTATAGTTCAGGAAAGTCTAACTTCCTACAAGTTTATTTATTTATTTATTTATTTTTCAAGTACAACTGTGTAGTTTTTTTTTTTACATTTTGTGAGGGACAAAGTAATGAAAGCTTTCATTTTGTATGTTAGAAACTTACAGGAAAAATTCCTCCGATATTCGTAGCCTCGTACTATCACAATTTATTTTATTCTTTATGTATGCATACATATATATATTTTCTTTCATACTTTTTTTATGCAGAACAATGGAAAGGTTTCTGTTTCCAGAGAAAAACACAGTTATATTTGAAATGGAACATGCAGTTATCTCTTGTAATTGCGTAAATACATTTATAAAAAAAGAATAGAATATTTTTAATTAAACTTTACTAAATTGTACAATATTTCCTTTTGCTCCTGCTTGGAGAAAAGCAACGCTTCCTCTGATTGCTATACATTGTCTTGTTTTTTTGTTTACTACATGGGGGATCGTGCAGTTATCGGTTCTTCGTATTTCAATTTCTGATTAGGAGTTCACATAACCTTAATTGGAAGTTTCGTAAGGGAAGGTTCTCCCTACGTCGAAGGTTCACTGCCTTAGGGATTTTCTTTCGCATAAAATTGCGACTAGGGGACTTACTAGAATACTCGAATATTCGAATATTCGAATATTTCGCGTACCGATCGAGTATCAAGATACTTCGTTAGACCACGGAATATTCGAATAGTCCCAGTCCTAATTGTGACCGCGTGTCGGAGTTTTTGTAACGAAATTTCCAGTTGCAATCGTCGTGCAGCAATATCACGCTGCAGCTTATTCAGGGCGTTGAAATTTGACAAAGTGTGATACGACAGAGAAAAAAAAGAAATGTTCACACGTTGACTGTCGTGGCGGTCACCGGTGACCGGCACACGTGGTAAAACATTGTCGCAATGGAAGGACTTTAACTCTTATAAAATTGTAAATAATGTTACTGTTATTAGGAATGATGTAAAATAAGAGATACGCCCATTGAATCGAATCGAATATTTCTATATTTCACACTAGAATTTGAACAAATGTCTCTAGACATGGGAAAAACTGTCGCGACAGTCAACGTGTTAATATCGTGACTCGTTTGACGACGTTCAGAATGTATTTCACGCCCGTTTGTTCTACGTACTGTCTTTAACGTTTCGTAAAACCTCGCTGTGTCGCGTTTCAGCGGGACAATAGAGAAACAAACACTTCTTCGCCCTTAGTTAACCTCTTTCTTTCGACAACGATGACACAATATTCCAAATGATAATTTTTTCATACAAGGAAGATGTATTTCTTTCGATAAGAAAAAACCTATTTAATTATTTAATTCCTCGAGATGCGGCGTAATTATGGAACGAATATATTCGTGGTGAAATACGCGAGAAAAATGCAATAACATATTTTTACCGACGCCCACAAGTACGTTTCAGTGCAACGAATGCATTTTGAAAGCATTGAACAGTTTCAATGATACATAACCTAGCAACTAAGTTTACTCTAGAAGGAATTAGACTAATGAAGATAACTGCCAGAATTCCTTTACGAATTGGTTTAGACTACGTTATGCTTATCGAGTATAATACATTCTTGAAAGTGTTCAATTCTGTATGTTGGCATATTTTTTGTCTGCACAGAGCTCAGATACGTTGTTTAGCGGTAAATTGTTCGAAATATCTTCATGCTCGACTCTATACATGGCACCGAGGACAGATTTAAGAATTTATCAGTCGACAAAGTAAATAAGTTACTTGCACATGGCAGTGCGTGTGTAAGTTATCTCGATACGAGTCATGTAATCGTGTGTTTCATCGAAATACGGTGATTGTATAACGTATATCGAGGAACCACTGAACACCGCGACGCGAGCGCCACCAATACTTTTCGACACGCAAACTGACAGAATTTTACTCGTTCAGCATTGGATAGAATTTCATTTCATATACTACAGATCGTACGCCTCCCGTTCGTTTATCGAATTACGCCGCATCTCGTATCACCATCGTCACCCCATTTTCTTCATATTTTTTAACGCTTCGTAAATTTAATTACCGTTGACTTCTATCACTTCGAATGGTAGAAATCTTTGCATAACTGCCATATATTAAACGTATACGTATAAACGATTCCAGTATCAACGAATTTTGTTGACCATCGGTAACTTCTGTTTAGACGAAGACATTGTATACACGACCGGATTAAGGCTTTCGAGGCCCTCTTCGTATAAAAAGCGGGGGATAGCGGGGTTTGTAGGTATTTTTTCAAAAAGGAAAGCGTTGTCTTAAAAAATTGCCTTATCTTGCTTTTTCTCCTAAGTCATCTATATACGTACGTTAAAATCAAGATTTAAAAAATGATTTAATTTATTGACAAAATATTAGCAAATCAAAAGTAATTTTTTTTGTTAACACCTTGACTGCTATAGTGGTCAATGATGACCATATTACAATAAATTAATACTTGTAATTTTGTTAATAATGTTATTGTCATTGGAAATACTACAAAATAACAAGTACTTTATTGGACTAGCAAATATTTTTATTTACTGGGATATCTCTAGACAGGAAAAACTGATGTGGCAGACAACGTGTCGAGTATTTGTAAACATTTATTGTATTATTTGAAAGAATGAGAATTCGAGGTTATAGCCTCTTTTAGCCTCTTCCTTAATCCGTGCCTGATTGTATGGTTACAATTAGAGAAAGGTCATTTGAAAACCAATAAAGATGGAACGAGAGTGTAGTCGATCGTTCGTTTTCGTAAACGATGTTCGACGTACGCGTAGACGTTTACTAATCGATACGATTGTATCTTAACCTATTACTTTGTAACAACAGTTAGTCCATTATCCGTTGTCGATACTTTTCGTAAACGAAACGTATCATGTATAATTTTCAAATTCAGATTTTAAAGTTCGTGGTAAATCGGTGTATTAATTTTCTGAGATCCCGTGCTTGAACTTTCGAGCGAAACATTCGATGTGTGTAACGATTTCGATGTATGGAAGATTACGTCTATGGAACCTCGGGAGCATGTAGACAGTTTTTCTGACATTCAAATGTCCGGTACAAGATTTCTCATTGAATTTTTGACGTTAATTTTACAAGCTCGTAAAATTATTTATCAAAAACGAAAACTTCGCTCTAGGCATAAATGGGTTGTTGGATCCAGGTTAGAATCAGTTTTATTTTCTTGTCACGGAACATAGATTTTTTTTATACTTTCGTAGAGAAATTACTTCGTAATATATCGTTGGGGCACTCGGACCCTTGCACCCGAAAATAATTGCTCTAGGCAAGCCCTGATCCGTTGACATTCTGCGCTCAAGGTCACTGCTGTTTTCGTTCCCAACGGTTTTTTTTTTATACATTCACTATATGTCTATGTGTTTCTACACGCTATGCGTATCAGCAAAATAAATAAAGGGTTCATGCGACGAGTCTCGAAACACGACGAAAACACTGAACGCTGTTATTTTAAGTTTTTTTTCTTGAATCACGCATCGCCATCAAAGATGGATAAAATTTTATTCGATCTGACAGTTAAATCTTTATTTACTGTAAAATATTTCATTGTATTATTCAAACTTTAATTCGTTCGAAATTTTTATCCAAATTTTGTCCATCTTTGTTCCAAGTGATCGGTGATCAAAAAAGCGATTACGTTGTAACGTACGAAATGTACGTTTTTCTTTACGAGAAATCAAAGTCTTCGCGCAATGATATTTTTATCATCTGCGTCTCGTGCAATTATTTACATTTATTATCGTTAGTTATACGTATACAATAACGTTTATTAAGAAGTTTTTTTTCCCCCGTCGATGAATTCTGCGAATCCCCAACGATTCTATAATTTATTTACGTTCTGTGTAAACCAGTGAACGACGAGATCATTCGAGCAGGCGTTGAACAATTTTTTTTTATAAGTACAAGCGAACGCTTGTATGAACGGACACTTCGTGCGTTACAACAAAATAATAAAGGATACCAATGCAATTTTGAGCTACGAACAACTCGAGTTCAGTGCTGCCTCTCTTCTTGCGCCAAGTCGGGTTCGTCAGATTTCACGTAGGGAGGGTTAGGTCACGGCTCTGTCGGTTAACCGAGTATGCGCAGTCGCGGAACGCTGAATGGGGGTGGGGATGGCTCCGTGGCAACTGTCTCCAACGCGAATTGATGCATAAAGCGTGGCAGGGCTGTGGCACGGCGATATCTTACGAGAAGAAAATGTTCGAAGCGCGCAGAGGGCTCTCGACCGCTTTGATGTCGTCTTTCTTTAATCACAAACGTCGATTTTCGCGTAGAGGGAAATTAGGTGTGCCGCGGTCACTTGCGAGACGCGCGTAAAACTGTTCGTGATGCTTGTTGACGAAGTAAACTATTTGCATGCGCAAGGGGAACGACCGCGGTGAGAAATAAGAGAGTGCGAGAGAGAGAGAGAGAAAGGGAAGCGGTAAACTAAGATGTTTTTAAGTAACTGTGATTTTTTCAAATGTTTTATATTAAACACGCGTACATATACATATATGTAATATATGTATACAGGGGGTTTGCTTACATTTGGGCAATCTTTCAGAGTGAGTCAACACGACGATATCGGATGAAATATTCGACTAAATTTTTTTTAATAATGCCCAACTTTGGGCAACATAACGATCATTTAATTCTCTTTAAGATTTATTTGAAGCATTTTTCAAACTAAAAGTAACTTTGACAAATATAATTTTCGTTCTATTTTATTACGTGGAATCAACTTATGGAAGATTGTTCACGTTTAAATAAACTCCTTATATATGATGAATTAATTTCTACGCATAATATAAACGATAATGTTTCAATGTCGCTGTGTTTATACGGAAGTTGTAGAACATTTTTTGGACTAACATATCGGTAGAGAAAGAGAGCGTTTAGCGACAAATAATTATTGCTATTATTATCACCGTTTCACGTATTAATTCGTAATTATTAATCGATTATTATTACGATAGTTATGTGCGAGTGCGTTGCCTAATCTTCACAACGGAGTTCGATTGTTGATTGCTTATTGTAAGAGTCTCTTGTCATCGCTGTCACGTAATCATTGTATTCAGCGCCATACACACACACACACACACACACACACAGACACAGACACAGACACAGACACAGACACAGACACAGACACAGACACAGCACAGACAGACAGACAGACAGAAACACGAAACTCGAACTTTTCGTCGCCTCTCATCGAAAGGATCGCCGTTCGCCCGTGATACAAATTGTTTCATTTCGTTCGTCTCTTTTGCAATCGACCTCTCATGGACTGTTCCTAAAACGCCGTTGTATAAGCTGGACCTTTCATCGGGCAGAAAGATCCTACTTTCGAGTTCGGGTATCCTCTTTGTTTGCAGCCGATACTCGGCTGGATTAGGTACTTAACCAATCGACAATAGATAATGTTATCGTCCGTTCAAATCCTCGGGAGCGTAAAAAGCTACCATCGAGTCCGGGTGTATCCGCGTTTTCGTTCTCAGTGACGTCGAACCGCCATCTTGAAGTCGGTAATCGAGGTATGTGGATACGGAAAACCGGCAAACGAGGCGATTCCTCGTCCAAAACTACGTCGAAATTGTCGAATACAGATTTTCTCGCGCGGCGTTTCCGTTTTCGAGAGAATTGTATTCGTTTCGACGCGCATGTTCCATTTAACAAAAGTCAAGGTGACCTCAATTTTGTCGAGAAAAATAAATGTTTTTAAAATTTTTATTATTGTAGATTATTGTGCGTTTCGTTGGCGAACGAGAGCCCGTCGGTTTCCGTGTGTTATTTTCCCTCGCCGATCGATCACGTGTTCAAACATGGCGCCCATTCGTCAGCCGCGCGGCCCGGGCATCCACCTGACGATCTTCGAGGCTGTTTTCTGGAAAACGAAAGCCTGGACGGTAAAATGCATCATGTTTTCGATTTATTTTTGGACGAAGAATCGTCCCCTCGTCGATTCTATCTCGAATTACGCTCGAAAAGGACATTTTTTTTTTAGTACCATTGCCATAGATAATCACGTCCACGGATCCGGTACGTTATTTGAATCATCGTGTTTGTAAAAGCCAAATTGTAGTAAACTCTGTCGTTCAAGTTCTATTTTGAAATTAACAGAAATCTATAGAAATTAAAATTGTATCGTTTTGCATTTTGGATGCTCTGTGACTTGAACATGGAATTTACTGGTCCGCCATTTCGGCCCCTTCGTGCCCACTGTATTCGTTTCAGACAATTCACATTGTTATCACAATATTATCTGTATGTTTGTGCATATGAATTATTTTTTAAGATCGATAGACTACTTTGTACTCGTAACCTGTGCAATTTTTTAATATATTGATACAAAAGTCTTTGAACGATTCTTCATATTTTTGTTTGTTTATTAAAAATAATAATCAAATAATTTTCATTGGATTTGCGGGCACGAAGGGGTTAAATAACATATTGATTCGCAGAGCCCAGTTGATCGCAATGGGGATTCGTGTCCGCCACGCCCCCTCTTTTCCTTTTTAATATCTTCGCGATTTACACTGCTCGACGAGGGTGGCAGCTCTGTCCTGAAAAGAAGTGTTCATTTTTCATGAGAATCCACCATGTGGAACAAGTACATACATACGTGTATCATTACCGCTCACGCAGAGGCGAGTGGTGATTTTTGCATCTATTATCGCGTGGTTTGATTCGTTTAAAGACGCGTTGAACTAGATTATTCACATTATCTCGACTTACACGGAATTGCGATAATTTTGAATTTTCTTTACGTTTTGTACGACGCCATGAATAAACAAAAATTAATTTCCTCATTAAACGTGCAACGATAAAGTTGTTATCGTTAGTTTGCAAAGGGTTAAACGAAAAAAAGAAAATCTTTGACGGGGAGTCCCCGAAACCTCACCCCTATGCGCATTCGCCTCTGCGCAGTGGACCGCGTCGCGAGAGCGACTTGAATCAAACGAATCGTGGTATCGCGTACTCGACCTGTATTTTTTTAAATAAAAAAAAAAAAAAGAAAAGCAAAATAAAAACCATAAAAAGTTATAAAGGGAAACGACTCTTTTGCGACTCTGCCTGTTTTTATCACTCGTTTCGTACTCGGTAGGTATTAGATATTTTCCAAAATGGAGGGTTATTTTATACAATTTTGCTTTTATTTACTTATTTTCTTGATAGGAGTGTACAGTTTCTCAGTACGGTTAACTTTCTACGGTTCATCCCCCCCACCCCCCAAGACTAGGTAAGCTGCGTCTTCCGCGCATGCGTGAACGGGTTGAACGCTAGGAAAAAGCGTTGAATGGAACAAAGCCGGCATTGTTCCGACGCTTTCGTTTTGTTTCTTATTTTTTTTTTCCTTTTGGTCCGTCGTTGCTCATTTTTTCTTGCTTTTTCATTCTGTTCGACCTGTCGAGAAACGCAGGGGGGGGGTGCCCAGGCGTGCGGTGTCGCGCGAGCAATTGCAGTTTTCTCGAGGAAACTTGCGAGAAAATAATCGTAGGGTTGTCGATCCTTTGGTAAATAAAAACAAATGTGGCTACCAATTTTAAGCCATTCTTTAATGAAAAATAATATAATAATAAATAACGAATTGGTAATTGTATAAAAGAGGGGGTTGAAGTACGTTAATTTACGTCAATTTATAGAACGACCCAACAGTGAAATTAACGAAGGTTCTAAAATAGTCGATAAAAAGACGCAGTTCGCAGTTTAATATCCTTCGGGGTAAACAAAAAATGGTAGTAAATTGCGAGCAACGTCGATACTGATAATGGCTGTTCAAATAGGAAACACCTTTTCTAAAACGGTATTTCACGTTCCAGAATAGAAATCGATGTATCTTCCATCCGCATAACGACGAACGTAATCGTTACTGTCGCTCTGTCGTCGTCGCGTTGTTACAATTTTATTCCGAATATTATGTATACTCGGTGTCGCGATAAAAATACATAAAATATCCGACTCGCGTTAATTTCGAAAATGCGTCGAGATAAGAGGAGACAATAATACCGAAGATTTGTGTAAACAATAATATCGAGGATTTGTTGTGGTGGAAGTATCGTCAAAGGCCATCTGGAACAGCCTAAAAAACCGAATCGGATACACGTGCACGATGTATGTAAGAAACGTTTAATGTACACAACGTGGGTTCGGTTCGAAGCTACTGCGATTATTTCTTATCGCTGCATGCTCCGAGTTACGCGAGTCTACGCAATAAGTTTCACAATCAATCGCACAGTGGGCACGGCGAGAGACAGACGCGCGCGACGATCGAGAAAAAAGTGAAAAGAAAGAGGAAAGGAACCCGACGCGCGAAGTGCAGCGCCGCGTTCCGTGGCGGCGATTAAAAATCATTGTCGAGCGATACGGTGAACGTTCTGTGAGAAAAACGCGTGCGTACGAAGTAAAATAACGAGGTTCGTTGCTTGGGACGAAAAACCGTTCACGATGTGCTTAACGGAATGACCAAAAGGGCCTTGGGCATTTCATAGTTCGGTGCATTGAGAAAAAAATTATAGCAGGATGAAACGATCCTAAAAAATTCAAGAAATGATAATTTAAGGTAAAGATAGTTTTTGTACTTAATATTTTAGAGGAAACAAATGTTATGAAAAGTACGGATAAATGACTGAAAAGTTTGTCCGTATCGTAGTAGTGTAACGGTATGTAACGCTGAACTAAATGTTGGAACGTATCAAAAGGTCAATAAAGAGATGTTCGGAGTTTCGTATCGAAGCTAAAGGCCATCGCGCTCGGAACGTTTTCTTTGAGGAAAGGCTTTTGCGAAAGTTCTCACGCGGATGAACTGCTCCGACGGGAATTTATTTTTAACCTGAAATTGATTCTTTAGTCGTTGTACGATTAGAAATAAAAAAAGTAGAATATTAATAACGTCTTTGTCTATATCGGTGACGCTAAATATACTATTAGACTCCATTTATATCGTCACTTCCACGGTAACCTTTAATTTAATTATTGGAGGAAGTTTATTTTGAGCTACTGAAATGTAACTCGGGCTCAAGGTTAATTAGAACGAACGAAGAAGAGAACTCACAATCGGTTTTAAGATTTCATTTGATATTAAAAACGATATGTAAAAGAAACGTATGTATGTTCGAGACTGTTATTTCCGGAAGCTTTTCAATCTGCATGTAAGTTAGTATGAAACATACTGCTGACCTATCTTTTCATCCATTCAAACAGTCTTACTCACGGACCACCCTTATGTACGTTTGTGCCCGGGGTCTCAAGCAGCGCGTGACCCGTGGATGACGCCGGCGCGTGTAACAAAGAAAAGAACGAAACCTCGGCTCGAACAAAACCCAAGAGAGCAAAGAGACACAATAGAGGGCCAAGAGAGAGGGTGGATGTCTTCGGGTGCAGCGGCAGCCAGAGAACATAATAAAAGGAAAAAGGGTAGAGGGGGGAGAGTGAGTCGTCGGTAGTGCGCGTGTCCGTGAACGACTCGTGGCTCCCCGCGTCGCGCTCCTACCTGGCAGCCAACCGCGTGTAAGGTGGCCCGTTCGGCCAACCCCCTCCCGCGGGGTTGACGCGGGGCTGACGGCGCGTTAGTCGCGTCGCGAACGCGATCCAGTGCTCGTTCACCCCGTCAGCCGTGTCGCGGAGGTTACGCGCTGTGGCGGCGACCACGCCGAAGAAAATGAACGATCGCCAGGTGCGTCCACCTCTACGTAAGTACACAACCGTGGAAGTAGGGATCCTGGCCACGGACGTCTGCGTGACGCCCCGTCCCCGATTCACGAGGCTCGACAGTCTCACGGCGGGTGGAGGACGACCCGATCGATCGCCGGCAGAGGTGCACGAGAGATGCTCTCGTGGAAAAACACCCCGACTTTCCGCGAACGTAATCAGCCAGACGGACGAGGATATTTCACGAAACCACAGTCCCGTTAACCCTTCCGAGTCCTACTGTTTGCAATTTTTCCGCTTGCTACCACGCGTCGAACGCCCATCGGCGTTCAGAGATCGTGGTCAACGAGCTTAACCGTGGGAATCCCGCGCGGGGTGTAGAGTTCAGAAAAAGTAGACTCGAAGCGAGGGGAATGTTTGATCGAACTCGACTGAAAAATTCGTGGTGTCTCTGTAGCAACTGATCTTTATAGTCCGATTGGTATTACGAACACTAGTTGTTCCGTATAGGAATTGCAATTAATAATAATCGGTGGCTCTCGCGAATCTACAGTTCCGTTGACCCCTTCGTGTTCTGCTCGAAATTTTCACAGTCGGTGCTGTTACACGCCCCTGAGGCGTTCAGCAGCAATTATCATCAGTGTAAATTACGCACGTAGAATCGAGAGAAAGTACGAGCGAAATCGGGGAACGTTTGATCGAATTCGAGTAAACAGACTGTCCCCGGCGCGATTAACTTGTACAGTTCCACGCGATCGTATTTTGAAGACACGAATGTTGTCAAACGGTAGTCTTGAATGGAGAATAATAATCAGTGCCATTGGCTGCAATTGCATTCATTGACCAGCTGGAGGCAGTGTTTCTGTAGCTGATAAGAACGCTTCGCTTCAGTCGGAGCTCGAACGCGAGCATTTAGGTCAGACAGGTGACGAGCTGACTGCGGATTTTATGAATTTATGGCATATCCGAAATGAGAAACGTGTACCGAAAGTTTCCGGAATATGTACACCTGTGAAAAATGGAACCTTAACTCTGCAATATTATATTTGTATAAAAACAAGTAGGGTAATATGATACCCCACTATAGTGTTTTACGCTTAATATTATTTTCTTAATTTACAATATATATTTACATTTTTCACCTCTTTTCCATACTAACACATTATTTAACAATATCTAAGAGTTTACATTCTCTATACGTAAATTTGGGAAATGATCATATCACAAAACATTAAATTACAGTATTATATGAGTATATTTGATATGTTTATGCTATAAATACATAAAAGTCTAGTGACAAACATCTACAGAAAGTGGGCTGTAAATCTTCTCTCGTCGCAAGCTCATCTCGCGTTCACCATTGACAATTCGATTTGACACCATAACCTCAAAAAATCACAGATTACGCGCTTTTGTTTTCCCCATCCTATAACGGTATATTTTCAGTAGAAAGTTTCGGTTAAATCGGTGATCCGAAATGTAAATATTGTTTCGCAATACTACTATTTCATATTTGTATCGTAACTTTTAAATAAAGCTCTAAACGATACGTATTTAAACCTAAAGAATACACTGACGAAATTTGACCGTTAAAATATGGGACACCCAGCGTAGAACCGAATCGAAGAAATAACAGTCGTAGAAACCGAAATTAACCAGCACCGATTTTCTTACCGCGTAAGAACCGATTTTATGTCGCCATTTTCTAAGAGTTTTACTCGTCCCTGGCGGAAAGTACCCCAACAATCGCGTAAGAGGCGTGGTGATTGTTGGAACGCTAACCTAACCTCGATTACCTACTTACATCTGAAACACTTCGCGGTGGCCTTACCGCACACCACTGTCCTCTCTGTTTTTTTTTTCTCTCGTCCGTTTTTATTTTGCCGCTTCACGCACGCTCTCTCGCCCCGTCCTGCTCGCTCCCATTCGCGGTACGCCCGCAGCTGCGCAAAGGTCCTTCCAAGGAGCAGGAGTGCACACCCTTCTGCAGCTGCAGTTGGCAATGCGACCTCTGTGGATCGTCACTGTTCCGATGGACCTGGGGTTACGCGCGAAACAAGTACCGACACGTACGGTTGTCTGCTCGTTATTCCTCGAATTCTACGACGAACGTGTTAAATTCGTTGAATCAGAATATTCCGTCGGTGTTCGATAAAGCCGCCTAACGACGTGGAACCGTTCGTACCATCCGCGAACACGTATTTACGTGTACCCGGCGAGGAAACGTATAGACGTTGCTCGTTATTTCTCCGACAATGAACGGTTCCCTCTCGAAACCCAGCAAGGAGTGACTAGCAACTTTCGTCAAATGAACTTCGCTCGACCTCGAGCTACCGCAAGCTCTTCTTTCTGTTTTTAATTGAAGTAGACCGAGATTCGTCGATGTTCGGCCAACGATACGGAATATTGTATCTTTTATGTCTAAGCCACTTATCGTATCTTAGAATAACCTTCTACTTTTTGTGTAGGTTACAATCTTGATTCAAGTTTCTCGATCCGTACTTCTTATAATTTAATCGAATTTGGTGCTAGTTGCTCAGTCTATGAAACCTACATTTTACGTACATATTTCCATTTTACAATTTTGTAGTTAATATTTAATTATAATATAATGAGGATTACATTAATATTATACACTTTACAATGTTTTTATTTTTACGTTATGAACAATATATGGTTCGTTACAATTGCGCCCAATTTCTTTTGTCTTATTTTTGATTATGCGATTAACCGATAAAATGGCTTATAACGTCAGATTTAATCAAATTTTTAATCCCGCGATCGAAACAAATTAGAGGATACGTTGAAACGCGAGAGTTTGTATTCTTTGTTCGACCAACTAACCGGCTGGATGCTCTTTTGGTTTCAGACGAATGATGATACACGTGTCGTCGGAGAACGCTCAACGATACGATCGTGTCAAGCGTAAGAGCGTAGCGTTTCTCTCGAACTTTTTTAAGTCGAAAAAGTTGACGTTAGGAATGAAGATCAACGAGGAGGAGGAAATGGAACGGGCCCCCAAAGTCGAGCAACCCGGTAAACCACAACGAAGGCTCATTTAATAAAAACATTTCGAATGTCTATTTAGATATAAAATGAAAGTTGTAAAATGCGGAAAATTTCGAGTTAAATCAATGAAATTGTCAGAATCTAATAAATAAATGTTTCTAAAATTAATTAGTAAAATGTAGGATCGTATTAATTTATTTATTTAGTAATAGAGATTTCACTGTACATAAAAATAACTATAGTCGTAAGGAAATAGATTTAATATCGAACTCTATGAAAGTTTATTACATTTGTTTATAGTTAGTAGAGGGAGTATAGTTTGGCCAAGATTTTAGAACCACTCTCTATAGTGCTGTTTCCAGCGCGGAAGGTAGTTCTAAAAGACCAATTTCGCTGACTGTTTCGTACGATATCTGTTTCAGCGATCATCACGAACACTTGCAGGCGCAGCGGTAGCGAGAATGACAATCAGGTATCGAGAATTCCGTCGACCTTGAGCGTGGCAGCCGTCGATGTGGTCGTCGCCTGTCAGCCGTCGCCATCACATTCCGTGTTAACCTTGACACCTGGTAGAACACGGAACATTGATCAGGATATGGAGGCACTTAGACTCAGTCGACAGGATAATCCTTTCCTGCAGGTTCGAATATCCTCTTGGTTTCGAAACGACCGGACGGAGAAAGAGAATTCGATAAAGCTGTGAAAGTAGGGCATATCCTCGTATAAACAGCTTCGACGATTCCTTCTAAGAAAGGTCGTATTTCTCGAGGCTCGAAAGTCAGAGATTTAAAAAAAGAAAATGAAACTTTAATCTGTAAAACGTAAATTCATTTTTTTTTTTTTACATTTAATAAAGTTTGACACTGTCTTTTAACCGGACTCGACGTTACTCGACAACTGTTTTTGTTTTTCAGGTGCTGGCCAGTCGCGAGAGCCTCGTGGAATCCATAGAGGAGTCCGAGTCGGACGACGCCATACTCATGTCTCACGTGAGCGATATTTCATTTTCATTGCTGTCCGTAATATCGTAAAAGGAACATCGATCCGGGACCTACGTTGCATTATTAATGGTAGCCTGAACTTAATATCGCTGGCGATGATACTGTACAAAAGGCGACCTTACCGAGATTGCTAAGGGCGCCGCCGCGATAATTTTTTAGATCCCGTTATTCCTGGATACAGTCAGCTACCCGTGTACCGGTTGAATATTTTTAATCAAACGTCGTCGCTCGACCAATGTCACGGTTCGATTTTAACCGTCTTTTTATACCCGTCCGGATTAATTAATGAGAGAATCGTTTCGACGTTTCCTGTGTTCGTTTAACATTGAATCGCGCGTAAAATGTCCTTTCGTGGCCAACGCTCGTCGCATTTACGTTTCTAGGCGTTTTCTTGCGGTGTTTTTTTTCTTGTTACGCGCGTGGAAAAATTCTGATCTTCTATGGCGTTGTTGGCGACCTAGCTAAAATACAATAATGCGTAAGCAGTTGTTATTCTCATCTAATCTTGGAAGCGAGCGTCGAGCGTGTAAAGCGTAACTTGACACCGGTCGTTATCGACACATTGCATCTCACTTGCACTCGTCATTTTTCCTTGTCTCGGTTGAATTCGTGGAACTGATCTGCCCGGGTTAGGCTAGGGTCACACGACGTTCCTACGTTTTTTTCAATTGTGAGACAAGGAAAGACATAAAAACGGTTGGTCCCGAGCGCGTAGACAGTGGGTATTACTGTATATATCAACCCCTTACGATTTAATTCCCAACTTTGCGTGCCTAAAGCGACACCTAGGTTTGGCCCCCGTAGACTTGTCACGTCTCTGAGACGCCATTGTAAGCTAAGGGGTTAACATAACTGTTAGAGTGACGCTTGGAATGGAACTAGAAATCAAGAAATACGCAAGGTATTCGAATGTCCCCGTCCTGGGCCTAGTCCTTCGCGTTTGTCGTCAGCCATCTTGCCCAATCGGTAGGGGGTGGGAGTGCTGACGTACAAAGGTCAAACTAAGGTCAAACGAAGGTCCCTTAACGAACGCCTCGACTTGGGGCCTCACCTTTTCTCGATGCCTTACATAACCTAAAAATATGACATTTTTCAGGAGTTGGGCGACGCGGATCCGTTGACACTGGCACAAGTGCACGAGCATTTAGTACGCAGCCCGCCGCCAGCGTCGTGGCCGCACACCACAACCTTCCATTTCCCTCATCAGAATCAGAACACGAACACGAACGGGAACGGGAAGAACGACTCGTCGACGCGTTGCAAAAGCCCAACGAAGACGCCGTCGTACAGGGGCAACGATCACGAGCTTTCTAGAAGCGAACCATCCACGGATATCAGAGGTGCGATTCTAAACGACTAAAAGTCGTCTTTACTTTCTCACACTGTCGAGCCCCGTAGCTCGTAGAACCTCCGTAGGCATCATTCGCGCGCTTTTCGTCACGTAAATTATAGTAGCAAGTAAGCTTAGTGCCTGTTCCTTATGGTCTGACGCTTTAACAAAAATTAGTTTCTTATCGATCAGTCGTCTCGACTGCGTTCTCGTCGATGGTGCTCGGATAACATTTTTCTGTTCGGGTTTGTTAATTTTTTTTTTTTTCGAAAGACCGTAAACTGCTTTGTATTGGGCTATGGGATATTGGAATATATTTACTGATGTTTTCGCCATGTTTAAAGTCACACAATTCTTAGAACGTAACCACTTCTGATTTAATTTAATTCTGTAAAATTACAGGTTTCAACTTTCGTACGATCTTTTTCCTCTACTCTTTTTAATTAACAACACTAACACACTATTCTTTCTTTCAGTAGTGTTATGTAATACTTTTCCTTGAAATTTCCTTTCTTTTGTATCGTTTTAGTTTGGATCATTTGGTACCAAATATATTCCTGCCACTAAATACGTGATTATTAGTCTATTTATTTAAACGTTCAAATGCAATATCGCCTACTTGAAACGTACATTAAACCTCGAATGCAACCAAGTATGTAGGTGCAGATACTTAATTATAAGCTTTATATATATGCAAGCAGCGTGATTGTAGGTTATAGAAAAGTAGTTCGCTGATAATTGCAAGTTCCAAGTATATGTACAGTGTGTTCCGTTAAAAAATTGAATATTTAGAGAGTCGAAGTAGGCGAAAGGATTCATTGGAATTTTGCAAAGACCGGTGCTTAACTCTCTATCGACCAATACGTAGCTTTCCATCCTTAGAGGCATCAAGGACACTCGAAGGTCACCTGCACTTTTCTTAATTAAATCTATAGCTTCGGTTAATGCAGAAGGCTGGACACGTCTTGTAACAGATACAACGGGGCACATTTAATGGGTTGTATGTAAATATATCGATCTGTACACATGCCAAAGTGACTGTATACATATACTTTATTACTGTATTATACTTTATCGCAAGTTTCAATTGCACACGATAATCGCATGTTTTCGCTCACGTGCATACGTGTCTTTCGATTCGCGTGCACAACGATCACAGATGCAGTAGAACCTCCAATAACAGTATTAATAAAAAAACATATAACGGGTCAGATAATAGATAACTCAATTTAAATAAATCATTCTTTCAAATATTTTATTCTTGAATTATTTAGCCTTCACGCTGAAATTGAAATAGAAAATGAAAAATACGAAAGTTGGTCTGTTCAAATATTTATTTAACAAATGTTCGTTGCACAATTGGCGAGATACTTAATACGAACAAATGATTAAAAACATAAAAAGTACACGAGCATAATACTGGGAAAAATTTTAACGCAGGATTCTAGAGGCCAGAATAAGACGAAAATCAAGAATATCAATTTGTTGATGAAGGCTTCGTTAAAAAGTTATTAACAATTAAATTCAAATTTTTCAAATCGTCCTGGAAAAATTATTTTCGGTTGCGGGGGTCAATTACAATCACTTTTGGTCATTAGACATGCTCTCGAAATCCTATCCATTTTCGAGAAAAAAATTCGAGAAGGTGTGAAATTTTTCGACAAAATTAAAAAATTTCAAATTGTTTTGGAAAAATTATTTCTAGGTTCTGGGGTCAAAAACAATCATTTTTGGTGAATAGACATACCCCCGAAATCCTACCCACTTTCGAGAAAAAAATTCGAGAAGGTGTGAAATTTTTCGACGGAAAAAAAAATTTCAAATCGTTTTCGAAAAATTATTTTCGATTGCGGGGATCAATTACAATAATTTTTGGTGAATAGCCCTACCCCCGAAATCTTGCGCATTTTCGGGGAAAAAATTCAGAACGGGCGGAACTTTAACCGTTAATAACTTTTTAACCTAGCCTCCATCAACAAATTAATATTCTTGATTTTCGTCTTATTTTGGCCTCTAGAGTCCCCCATAAAAATTTTTCCCAACTGTGGCCTGTATACAAAGCGTTCAGATAATGGAGGTTCTGCTGTACTTGCAAGGAACTTGCACCAAGTGCCCCCACTTCCGTTTCTGGTTTCGATAAAAATTTGCAAATCTGCAGACCTCCCCCCAAAAAAAGAAATACAAATTTCAGTTTAGTCGTTTTCAACAATTATTCATTCCATGTTGTTAAATGTCAACAAATAGTTTGGTTAAAAAATATCGAGGGAAGGAGGCATTTTGTGGATGTTCCTTGTCAGTCGTAAGTTCCATTTACGTACATGTGACTAGTTCTCAAAATTCCACGAACATGCTGTATACTCCTTAAGGAGTATGGAAATGGACTGGTTACACAGACACACTTTGGCGCATTAGGAAATTCATGTATTCGTCCCGGACACTTATTCGCGACCTTGATGCCGTGCTTATAGACATGTGCGATCGATTCCCCCTTATTTTTAACTCTGCATAAATTAATGGTTGGTTCCCTGGTGGGTGTGCCTTGACTCAATCTTGTGTTGGAACTTTCGATCGCCTCTTCTCCGTCTTCGTAATCGCGGGCCCTTCCTAAAACCATTTTCCAGCAACCTCCATCGACGCTAACGATTCTAACAATTTCATACCGCATGATTTTTCTTTATTTATTTCATCCGGTAGAAACACGTAAAAAATTGTTGCTCGACAAAATCGATTTAGTTTACGTCGCTACCGTGTGACACGCGATTATCATTTATTTTTCTCCCGATGATTTATCGTCGGAGTCGATTATTCGCATAAGAGATCTAATCGCTGCCGGGCCTGTCACGTTGACCGATTTTTTATGTCGCTCTTTCACGACACATGTACACGCATGTTAAAGATCTTATTTTCATGTAGGGCAATAACTCCAACTAGTTTGTCGTGTTTTAATACCCTAAGTGAAACGTCCCTCTAATTAGATTTCCGGTAAAGAAATCAATTTCATCCAGGGAACAAATTGTACAGTTTTAGTGAAATATTAAATCCGATGTACGCAATTGTAGATAGCCAACTGGCAATCATTACGCGTACGCCTGCACATATGCAACCTACAAAGTGCATTGTAGAGTTTCCTGCAGTCCATTCAAGCAATCAATCCGTTTCTAAATGCATATACTCATTCATAACGTCTTCAACCCCTCAGTTATGCTCGCCATTACGGACACTGGCCGCGTGTACTCAATACACACACTTCTATTTTAATTTAAATAATTTTTATAAATTATTTTTATAAATTATTTTTATAAATTATAAATTAATAAATTTTATATCAGTGATAATAACTTAAAACTGAAAGTCGAGAACGTTACGAATAGACGTATCTAAAATTCGTTGCTTTGCTCTGGAAACAGCATTTAATTTAAATAATCGTAGAGGTTAAATTAACAACATCGTACAGCTGTAATTCGCCATTCTACCGAACGTGTATTTATTTTTATTTCCGTGCCCGACCTTCGGTCGTCCGAAACGCGTCCAAAGCAGTATCGTGTTCACGAATACGTTCGCGATTGTGTTGGAATTTTTCAGATCGCCACTCGCACACGTTCTCGTTATTGCATCCGACGCCGATTCGCTCGCTGTCGGACGTGCGACGGCTTCACAGATCGGCGGACGACAGTGTGCAGCTGATGTCGAGCGAGTAACACGCTCGATCGTTCCGGTCCGCGACCGGGCCGAGATGGTTTTACACATTCAGTACGGGGAAGCGTGCTTCGTCGGTGCAATGTTCCCGAGGAGTACGTCCGCGCAACGAGGATACTCGAACCGTTCCTCGGCGAGTTGACGCGATCGAGGTCCGTCGTGTCGATTTCTCGGGTGGATCTCTATCCGCTACATCGAGAGCCAATTGTATCCGCGAGTGGCGTTGACATTGTCGCGCAGGTTGGTTTCTGTGCAGAGCAAACTCGACACCGTCGGGAGTCGTTCGAAAGAATTTCGAAGATTTTTACGTTTCGAGGGATCGCGAGTCGCACGTAATCGGAGAAACAAAATTTTTCGATTGTTTTTCCAGCCCCCATAACTCGGGGCTTATCGGTACCGTGAAATCAAAACAGCAAAACGAGAGTTGAAACCGTGAGGGAAGAGTATTTTTAGATAATCCCGAGAACCCTTTGTCCCGAATCGCGCACGCAACGACAAGCAAAGGAAAGCGGCATCTGTGTTGTCGGGCTGACGTTTCGGGAGTCTCGACGCCATAGGATGGGCTATCGTTTCAAGCACAAAGATTAGTAATAACTATTGTTTACTAATTGAGAGTAATCGTTTTATACACCGGGTGTGCCCCTTTTTCCGCGCGTGCATCGTAAATCGTGCACTGGGCGAAAAGTAACGAGACGATCGAAACGGCGAGGAGCGGAACTACGCTCGCTCATCGATTTCAACGTGTTCGACTGCAATGGGAATTCGAGAAATACGGTAACTTGTTCTGTAAGTCGGGGAATTTATATGCTGCCAGAGTGTATAATACTTTTGAGCGACGGAGAGCAAATTTTTCAGCTCTTTCGTCGTCTTTCCCTTCGAGCAACATTTATTGAGGTTATAATCTGTTAAATCGAAAAGTTTCTAGATTTATTTCTAGATTTATTTCTAGTAATTATTTCTAGATTTCTTAAAACCAGTTTGCAAGTCGATGGGCGAGCGTGACGCGTACAATTTCGTCCGCAAGTTGAAGTTTGCTTTATTTGCAAAAAAAACAACGGCCTGACGCAGTTACCGACCGGGCCTAGCAACAATAATTACCGATCGATGCTCGACCGTGCAGGCAGACGAGCCTGCGTTCGATCGAATACTATTGTCTTTATTGTTAATCGGATCGAGAAATTACAACAATATTCCTGAATGCCCCGTCGAAGTAATAAAGGGGAAAATCGTGCGCGCGTGTTTACAGTCAATTTGTGCATACAAATACGCGTGCTCGTTTCTAACGAGGTTGACTCACGAAAGTAACGATGGATGGGAATAAAGTGGTGCTGTACCTCTTGCAATAATTACACTGCTAGTCACGGACGTTTGATTTGTTATCGAACGATCGAATATTATCTATACACTTGGAACAAAAGCTTTTCTTTTTAATTCTTCGATCTTTGTTCCCTTTGCAATTAACGATACGTCGCGTAAAACGAGGTTCCACCGATTTTCATTCGTAAAAAGATGGGAAGTTTAATGGTACTTAACGGGAAAAGACAAGGTTAAACTTCGTTTTAGGGGATTATTATATTCAGTTTGTTACGTTCGGTTCCAATTAAGAAGTTACGTAATTTGTTCTAGATATTAGGTTATACAACCTCATTATAATTAGTTTCCACACCGTAACTATTAATTTAATTTAATTTATGGCTCTGTTTGCGTTTCGAAGTTTTAACATAACAGGTGCCACTTTGTACCTGCACTCGATAAACGTCGATACACACGACGCTTAAACATCGACGTTACGTCTCGTTTGTGACTCGATCAGTTGGTACCACCGAATTAGTTGTACTTAAGAAGCACAACGTGTTCTTATTTCCTTTTTTTCCATAACGATATGATGCCGTACCACGAAGATTTTTCACGCGTTGTTTGCGCAAGAAAACGATCGGAAAGAACAGAGAATCATCTTTTGCTTCGATCAAACAATACGTACGATATTTCGAGCGTCCTTATAGAAAATTATCTTGCAATTAACGTGGAAAGATTTGCAATTATATCGTCGGCGATAACCCGACTGTATCGTGAAAGTAATTAAGTATTACGCGTCTTTGTTTAAAGTATTATTTCACGAAATAGTGACACGACTGCGTTAACTGTATCGAGCAAGTTTAACGAGCTTACATTGTTGTTGTTATTGTTGTTGTTAGGTATTTATTCTGCACAAATCATTTTCGCGTATCGGAATATTTCTTTCGTAACCATTCGTTTTCACTGTAAAGACATGTTTTCGCGTGGCAGTAAACTGTCATCAAAATGCAGCGGTTTTGAAATTATTTATATGCAGTTACACAGGGTGTTCAATCAACCATGGGATAAATTTTAACGGGAGATTCTTGGGGCCAAAATAAGTCGAAAGTCAAGAATACCAATTTGTTGATGGAGGCTTCGTTAAAAAGTTATTAATGTTTAAAGTTCCACTCGTACTGAATTTTTTTCTCGAAAGTGCGTAGGATTTCGGGGGTATGTCTACTCACCAAAAATGGTTGTTTTTGACCCCAGAATCTAGAAATATTTTTTTTAGAACGATTCGAAATTTTTTTTTTCGTCGAGAAATTTGACATTTCTGAATTTTTTTCTGGAAAGTGCGTAGGATTTCGGGGGTATGTCTACTCACCAAAAATGGTTGTTTTTGACCCTAGAATCTAGAAATAATTTTTTTAAAACGATTCGAAATTTTTTTGTTTGTCGAGAAATTTGACTTTTCTGAATTTTTTTCTCGAAAATGCGTAGGATTTCGAGAGTATGTCTATTCACCAAAAATGGTTGTATTTGACCCCAGAACCTAGAAATAATTTTTTTAGATCGATTCGGAATTTTTTTTTTTCACCGAGAAATTTGATTTTTCCGAATTTTTTTTCTCGAAAGTGCGTAGGATTTCGGGGGTATGTCTATTCACAAAAAATGGTTGTTTTTGACCCCAGAACCTAGAAATAATTTTTTTGGAACGATTCGAAATTTTTTTTTTCACCGAGAAATTTGACTTTTTTGTATTTTTTTTCTCGAAAGTGCGTAGGATTTCGGGGGTATGTCTATTCACCAAAAATGGTTATATTTGACCCCAGAACCTAGAAATATTTTTTTTAGAACGATTAGTAATTTTTTTTTTCGCCGAGAAATTTGACCTTTCTGAATTTTTTTTCTCGAAAATGCATAGGATTTCAGGGGTATGTGTATTCACTAAAAATAATTTTAATTGACCCACGCAACCAAAAATAATTTTTCCAGAACGATTTGAAATTTTTGAATTTAAATGTTAATAACTTTTTAACGAAGCCTTCATTAACAAATTAGTATTCTTGATTTTCGTCTTATTTTGGTCTCCAGAATCTTCCATTACAATTTTTCCCAGGGATGGCCAAACACCCTGTATATAACATTTATTTATTATCAAAACGATATAAAATAAAGTAAAACTATACAGTTTGTTGCTGGAAAATCAAAATGGTCAAATTGCTAAATTTTATTCACGAATAATGCATACAAATTTTACACTCATTCGTAAACTAGTCTTTGACATTCTCGTGAACATAACCTTACCGACAAAGGTCACCAAAGATTAAAAATTAACCAAATTGTCTAACTTAAACGTGAGAACAGCTGCAAAACTCGTTACTTCTACTGTCGCGCGAACACGTGCCTTTTAACATTTTTTGTAACGTAATTAGCGAACGTTTGCTATTTTCAGAAAATGCAGGAGAAAGTGTAAATCGTTTCGAGATGAATATTGTTCGCGGCGCTGACGACGCGCCAAATGTATAGGCCTGAATATAATAAGAAGTGAAAATAATCGTAGGTTAAGAACTTTTTTTTTATATATATATATATATATATATAAAATATAGACAGCGAGAGAGAAGACGTGTACGCGGATACTTCGAAAAGGATTACTCTGCATCGACTCGAAGATAACTCGCTTTCTGGAACGAAAGTATTTTTTTAACGTTGCAGCACAATTTCACGCGAGCACAGATACCGTTACGTTGAGCAAGCAAGTTCGTTTTTTCCAACGCACATAACCTGTACGTTTTTTTTTTTTTCGTGCTTCGTCGCAAAGTTTTACGACAGCCTTGACTCTTCACGGACAACGTTTTCCCCCTGCAACTCGTAATATCTGTGGCCGTGTACCGAGACGAACCGTGCAAACGACGAACGAGTATTTGAAAACGAGGAACGCGTTTACGTTCCGAAACCAGGCGAACAGGAATTTTGTTCGAAACTAGAATTCGCAGGCGGGCCAGCCGGGTATCAACGACGCGGTGATGTAATTTTAGCAGGGTTTATACAAAACTTTCCAAATAGTAGCATGTAAGTGAAAAAGATCTAGACAATTATTATTACTATAGAGTCCAATTGACTTGGCCATTGAGAATTGAGATTATTTGTATCCCATGAGATGCCATTACGTACCGTACACGCGCGTTAGACGTTCGTGGCGTCTTGAGGATTCCAATCGGGAGCCAAACGGACGCAAAATATATGTATGAAAAAACGCAAAAAAATCAGTAGAGAGACTTATATAATCTAGTCGAATATAACGTATATGCCGAGGACTGTGTCGTCGCTCGTAAGAAAATATTAAATTGAATACTTGTTCGGGTAATCGTTCGAGTGTCGAATAATCGACGACAAGAAGAGGTTATAATTGGAATATTATTATTAAGCGAGTCTGAAGTTACTTTTATCGAAAATGCGATGTTGGATCGTACAATAAACTCTCAATTTTACTGATCACGACTAAGACGGACTTAGAATTTAACCAAAGACTATAAACTTTTTATTTTCACAGTTGAAAATAAAATTAATAATTTCCACTATTTATTGACGATTACTCTTATTGGTTGTTTAAATCAAAGGCTTTTTGCCTTCGAAGTTTTATTCGTATGAATTTCCACGTTATTGAGAACGAAAATGTCAATTTCCAATTTTGAAGGTTATATTTTTGTTCATCGTGGCATTGGATGGAAGACACAATAAATCAAATTAATTCAAATACATATATATATATATATATTTAAATCGTACGAAACCAAAATTTCGAATTCGAGAAAAAGAGAAATACGTTACTCGTTGATACAGGGTAGTTTTATTTTAGTATAATTGTAAATTATGTATTTCAATTTTTCGTCGCTGTTGTAGCCATATGTTAACCAACTTATCAAATTTTATGCTGCGCAAGTTAACGAATAATTCTTCGAATAAGTCCTTATTCGTTTGGATTTTTAAATCGCGCCGGCGAAATATTGTCGAAATAAAAGTTTGATTCTTTATACACTGACTACGAATTTATCGAAACCTTTTTCATCCTCTTTTAAAAACAAACCCTGTAAGTGTGTCGTTCATTGTTTTGATTTACGATCAATAAAATGCATTTTCATATCTTTCTAAATGATGATTATTGGCAAAAAAAATCTTTCACCTTGCAATATATTTTTGATTTTTGCAACTCGATTTGCGTAGAAATCTAAAGAAATCGAAGATCGATCGTAGTTCACTCGTTTGTACATCCCTTTCGCGAATTATAATATGTTTTATGCTCGAAAGACATTAAAATTCTGTTTCGTTAAAGTACTCGTTGCACAAGTGTTCGAATAATGCGCTGAATGATGGCTTTGAATAAGGACATCTAGCGTAGAGTCCGTCGACACGCACAAGCAGGTAATTAACTTCGCCGATTACATTTTTTTATCAGCGCAAATCCAGTTAAACGTGTTCAACTATAAATAGTTGTTCGCGAGCGGTGAATGAAATGGCGGGGTGGGCGTATCGTGTGCGTACAGAGCAGCCGGACGTTTAAGAATGAATCGTTGCATTGATTCCGTAAACCAGTGTAACGTGAAAAGAAATATTAATATATTAATAAATATCGATCGACAGAATCGCGTAACGACAGACAACGAACGCTGGTAACTCGATTAGAAAATGAAGGGTATTTTAATCTTCGACCATCTCAACGACGTGCTTTTCACAAAATGCAACAACAAATTTGCGAATCACATACAAAAGTTAGCTAAAATTCAAGGCCTGATATCTGAAAACAAGGTACGTTTTTATTATATTCTTCCGAAATGTTAATCGATTTATTTCATGGAAACTACAAAGTATCGAGAAATTCGTAAATTATTAAATAACGATATCAAAACTAATAAATAAAACGAACATTGTATGCAGGATGCGAATGACACGGATTCCAAACTCAATCCAAACGTGATAATGCAATTATTTTCACCCATTGTTACGTCTCAGCATGTGATGGTCTCGGAATTTAGAAATTCTTACACTTCTATGAGATGTCACGATGGTACAAACATGGTGTTCGATAGATTTATGGGGTACACTTTTATCTATATCTCCATGGAGGAAGTAGAGTTGATGAAAAGAACATTAGGTGTTTGCGTATCCATTATAAGGCATGTTTGCGGGCCAGATATTGGAATGTAAGTCCAACGAAGATAGTATCAGTTTATAGGGACAATTTATCTATAATTACGTGGTATCGCATTAAAAACTGTGATTTCAGACTAAAGATAAGCAGGCAGAAAGTGTCTTTAGTTTCTTCTTTATTGGACGCATGGGTGCATCTAAGAACAAACGAACAAAGCATGCTCACAGAGGCCATAGAGCAGTTGTCGATAAATACAGACTTAGGTGTAGCGATATTAAAAGTATTAAACGACGCCTGTGATAAATTAAAGTCGCAGTCTGAATTTTCTAATGTACACATTTTGATATTAGTAGAGCAAAAGTTTTTGTCGTTGTACTCGAGTAAGAATGCACACGACTTGTATGCCTCTGATATATTACTGATGGTGCTCATGTGTTGGGTGGTAAATCAAAAAAGGAAAGGCGATAATCAGTCGGGAACGAATGGCGATAACGACGATCACAGCGATATTCTTTTGCCTGAAAGCAGCTCCTCCAAAGAGGAGCAAGTAGCTTTCGGAGCGAAGCTTGCAAATCCTACTTCAGAAGACATTACAAACTTATTTAGTACGACTAAAAATTCGTTGTATCTTTTTGTTTGAAAATTTTTTATTCTAATAATTTCGGATTGCTATAGGGTTTGTTTCGTATTTTTATTGTATTCAATGAAATCTAGACTTTGGAGATAAATTCGTATTTTATTTGAAAGATTAACTAAAGTACAACAAAAATATAGTTTTTACAGTAGTATAGACGAACGGAAAACGCTTATCTATTATTGTAGGTTACAACAATATTTTCGATATACATTCCTAATTCTATTAACAATGTAACTTATATATAATGTGAAACAATTAGGTATATTGACTTTTTTCGTAGGTTAGTCTTGCTTAAATTTTTCATTCTCAGTCGTTAAAATTACTAATTTAATTGTTTCACGTAACATAAACTAGATTAGTGTTTCTTAAATTGTGAGTCCACAGTTTAAGAAACTTTAACAGACACACACGTACTGATAAGAAATATAAACAGCAGAATAAAAAAGAAATACTTCCTATGAAAACTTAAAGAACAAAACTGGGAATTAAATTGCATATTTTAAAAAAAAGATAAACTAGTATTTCTGCACATTTATTTCGATGCATTACTTTAATAAACAACCCATCAAATGTTTCGATCATTAAGATATAAATATATATTTTGTCAAACGGTTTAAAATATTTTAAAAATCATTTAATTCTAATCTACTGGATCCGACGTGCACGGAAATATCGTTATAACCTACACGTTAATGTTTCCAATAAGATACGAATTTACTTTGAAAACAGTTGAAACGTTTATACGAATAAAACATCAGATATCATTGTTTCCCGAATTATTAGTAAAATTTTCATTGTTAGGAGCTTCTCGTTAACTCGACTGATATTGTACATCGAGACATATTTAATTCTAGGGGGATCAAGAGACTCTTCTATTAACGAGGGATTACATTCGTTAACCGACGATGATTTATACAGCCATTTAGTATTACTCGGTTCCGAGCACGATTACACCGCTAATGCGGTTCACATTTTCGAGTTAGCAGATGGTATTAATCTCGTAATGATAGTCGAAGTGACTAACCTAGCTACGTCGTCAGGATTGTACGATAGTTTTCATTACTTAAACGTTATAAACGGTCTGCAACTGCAAAGGGACATCGACGAATTAAAACCGGCGTTCGAGAACTTCGATCTGGCGATAAAGAAGGCCCTGGATGGGATTAAGAAAAACAGAGCCAATGTCAGCAACGACGTTGACATGTGCCAGAGAAGGTTGCAACTGAAATGGGAATTTGTCAGAAAGAAATACATGGATCTGTTCAAATCCAGAGATCCGGAATCGATACTACAAATCGAATCAAATACGTCTGGGTTCATCGACAATATGAAGGAATTGTACAGATTGACGTGTTTCGATAAAAACTTCTTGAAGCAAGGCGTCGATGTGCTAACAACAGTAGGAAGACTCGTTCGTCAAAAGTTGAACGATTTCAGCGATTTCCTCAAAGTGAAAGCGCTGAAGAACTTCACCCTCGGATCATATCCTTTCGCAATTACTCAAACGGTTCTCAGTTCCACGGTTTCACAAGTTCTGCTATTTTATTTTTTTTATTTTTTATGATAAATTCCATATGAAAATATACCTCCTTAATGCCATATAATCTACGAGAACTTCCCTAACCATCAATAAATATCTAGAAGAATTTCCAGGTCTTGTACATTTCATATACATAGACCGAACTACGCATCGACTAACGGCGCCAACGTTAGACTTCACGAATCCTGAAACCCTTACGCTCACGACGAAAAAAGTAATTTCTTGAAAAATCAAAAAGCCAATCGACTAGAAGAACCTGGAAAATTTAACTCGTGTTTTAATTAAACATCGTTCTTCTAGATTTGGAATATGGTGAAACAAAGCAGGATGCATTTAGAAGAAGGACACTTGTCGGTTATGTGGAAAGATACAACGTTCAATTATGCTTATTTTTTGTGGTTCGAGGACAGTTCCGTAAGTGAACGTTAACACTTGACGTAAGAAGCTTATAACCGTACGCTCGTACTATCGTGTAATTTTTTAGGGATCGCCGTTAAAATGTAAAGCTTATTTGCATCATCTGATGAAAAACTTCCCTATACCAGGCATTTTTTGCGGCGATTATTATAGGTTTGTATAGTTGGTACTTAATTACCCTCTCGTTCCGCCGTTAACTTTTTGCTCATATTTTTTCCTTTTTAGAAAATTGGCTGAAACGTGTTTCCCGGAATTGTCTGTGAACAAAATCAGAATCTACGAGCTGTATTGCGTTCATCTCGGTCTGGCGACGTCGTCGTGCGTTTTAGAACACTCGAGGAGGCTTGCGGCTACCATATGGGAGGTTACAGGTGTTCCAAATAATCCCGCCGACATACTTTAATAACATTCCGTCGAAGTATTTCCTGTACAGATAAAAACTAAAGTTCTCTGTTAACGCGAATACGATTAATTATTTAACGTAAATTATTTGAAAGATTACTAATTATTTATAAAGTATTTGTCACGTGTATCAACTCAATATTTATAAAACATGGTAATGCAAAACATCTGTATTTATTTCGTACGCTAAATACTTAAAAATGTAATGGCACAGTTAAAAATTTTATGGAAAGAAACCCCTGGGAAAAATTTTAATGACGGATTCCAGAGGACAAAATAAGACGAAAATCAAGAATACCGATTTGTCGACGGAGGCTTCGTTAAAAAGTTATTAACGTTCAAAGTTAAAGTGTGCAGCGTGCACGGTGGCCGTCTCACAGGCGGAATTTAAAACGTTGATAACTTTTTAACGAAGCCTCCATCAACAAATTGGTATTCTTCATTTTCGTCTTATTTTGGCCTCCAGAATCCCCCATTAAAATTTTTTCCAGGGATGACGAAATGGCGGCTCGCGATCTAGTTATGAAACCTGATGAATTATGGTGATAGTGGGGGAAATCGGTTGGCTCGAGACGATCTTAAGAGTTTCGTGGGAACTTAGTGAACCTAGGATACAGAGCATTGTAAATATTTGGGAACGTATTAAAAAAAAATGATTGAAATTATTGAAAGAAAATAAAAATTTTTATACGTAGAACTTCCACGAGAACGCGTTAAAACCTACTCGGTAGTTCAGTCTATGATGCCTCTCCACTTACGCATAGCTTCGATACTATGAACACGGCACAACAGCGTTTTACTTTGTAGTCTCGATAAGATTCGAACGTTCTAAAAACCAAACCTGCCTTACATGTTAGAAATATTTACAATGCATACACGTGTAGCGTAAGCGCCCTAAAACTCATGTCGATTCACTCTCTTTTGCAGAACATGCTCTATCGTTTTAAGTATTATCCTTATAAAGCTTTCGGTGATGATCGAGAAGGTATTTTTCTAACGGTTATCCATCGAATCCGATTTGCGCGTATTGTCGATCTTTTTTTTCGTGACCTGACTGTAAGATATTTGGGAGGATGTATTTTGTACACAATTCGTTTCGGGCGACTCCTGTGGCGACACCTGAGTTTCGCGGATTATTTTCCCCCGACCTTTGCCAACGCATTTGTTTGTTTCACCTTTACAGATCGATTCCTTCACGATTTCCGACCTCATAGATAAGTGTCTGTTCCTTATTGACAGGGTCTCCATACCGTCGACTTTTAATTCTGGGACTGTGTTCGCCGGTGGTTCTACGTTCAGAATTTTCACCGTGTCCGCGTTCGTTTTTCTCGATTTACTTTGGTTAACGTTCTCCTCGATATACATTGCGGTGTTTCTTAATTTAGGAGTAACAGTTCGACTCTGAAATAAAGAGAAATATATCGTCGAATTCGAAAGATCGATCGTACGAAGGAATATTTGGAGGTTATGTGACACGTACAGTTGTAGTAGAGGAGTCCTTAAACGTTTGCCTGTCGTCGCGACCATTATCCGAGGATTCAATTCTTGGCGGGGACATTTTCTCAAACTCTTCTATTTCGTTGCTGACGCTATTTTTTTCAGCGTCCTCGTTGTTCTGCGCGATTCTGTTACGTTTAAATTCTTTGACTTGCCTTTCTAGCTCCGCCACCTCCATGTCGGATTTGCACAATTCCGGTATTAACTTGTCCAAGTACTGCTCGACTGTTTTTTGTATAGTGATAACAGACTCAAATCCAGATGTCCCTACGAGGTCCAAACTAAAAAGAGATAGCTCCAGCTAAGTACCAAAAATAACAGGAGAAAATTAAGGCGTGACAATGGAGGTCACTACTTCTTAACAATATAATTTTAAATAACGAACGCATGAAGAACATCTTTGTACAATAATTATTAAACATAAAGTAGTTCGTGAATAATAATTTCGCTTTGATTGATACCAGCGTCGGGAATTATTTCGCGTATTATAGCCCAGTATATGCATATAGCACTTTAGAATTGTCTTTCAGTATTTTTGCTTTGTCTAGACGTATATAGTTAGTTTTCCATATAAATCCATATAAAATTCTAACAAACTTACTTCAGAGATTCTATAAGTTCTGTAAATACATCAGGCGTATCTGATGATTTTTTGGTAGGAGCAGGTTTATAATCTGAACCATCGTGTATAAAAGAATCATTTCCCAAATTGATTATCCTTAATGGAACTGGCTCAAACATTCTATAGAAACAAATTTTGTTATTAGCTTTCTAACAAAAATTATAATCGAACGATTACAGAATTGGTACTCACCCCCTTCTGCGTCTCAAAAAGACATGTTTAAACTTATGCGTGCCCCTCGTAGCGTTTGTCGAAGAGCTCAACAAACAAGTAACAAAGAAATTTTTCGTAGTACCATTGCATCCAGAGAAATGCGATGCAAATTCTTTGTGCAATATTTTATCCCTCATAGTGAGCACCAAGTCTGTATTCCGCCTGAAGCGAAACCAACCTATAACCTGTTTGCTCTTGTCGCGCATAAAATCCTTTAATTTCTCTTTATTAATTCTACCAATAGAATCGTGCAAAAGATCGGGCAACGGGCAAGTAATAACAGTTTCAATATCTACAAACGTCAATGCATTATTACAGAACTGCGGGCGTCTTTACGTCACGAACAAATTACAATCGAGTATATTTACTGTTGTGTGTCTTCACAGTTTCTATCTGAATCTCCGAATCTGTATACGTTTTAATAACGAACTCAAGATTTTCTCCTAGTAAAAAACCCATCTAAAACGTATTAAAATTCGATCGTTTCAATATTTTCGAGATCCTCGTTTGAGGTTAAATATTTTGGAGGTTAGAATTGCAAGATCGTGCTTTTCATCGAGCAAGTAATTGTAAAAAAAACAAGAAGCATTATTAGTAACGGTCAATGGAGGAGAAACATCGATTACCTGGTCTCCACTGTTACGAACATTTTCATAGAACAGTAAAGAAAGCGCAGCACCCGAAATTGTGATGAGCAAATCGCTATCCGCCATATTGACAATTAATTGTTACACACTTTACTATTTTGTTTGATTTTCAATAGTTACACTGTTGATTTTCACCGCATTATTCACGCACCTGCAATAACGTATTACGTTGTTCGTTTTCTCTATCTATTTGTTTTATGTTAATTAATCGTATTGTCATAAATGTGTTCGAAACGTTTCCAAAGCTTATAACTGTTACTTTGTACGTTGGAATTAAAACAGTTTTGCGATGCTCGTCTTTCTTTTTCTGCGGTGTTTGTTTTTTGTGTTTTGTTCGACCGATATTATGTTTTTAACGAATGTAAATAGGTGTAAGTAAAAACTGGTCAGTATGATTGTTGAATTATTATAAAGTCCCTCTTAAATAGACCGTTCAGGATCAGACTCGTGATTGTTAATAAAACAAATACAAGTTAATAATACCGTAGATATAAAACGATCACGATTATTCAACTGCTGTAACTTAGTAAAAAATAGCCGTACAACCATTATGGACCCATTTTAAAGGTTAACTTCTACACTTTCGCGATCTTGAATTCAATTTTTTCAAGTGGCTTTTTACACTCGAAGAAAAGTTAAAAAAAGATCTACAGCGGCGGGAATTTGCAATCGATTCAACTACTACTGTGCATATGTAGGTACGTGTGGTGTAGTAATAATAACTTGGGAAGAATTTAGTCGAATACTCTTTCTCAATAAACCACTACGTGACAAGTACATAAATAACATACGATCTATTGTTTAATGTTTTAGGTATCGAACGTGGCATAAAACGTCCAAAAGATAATTTTGTCAGAAGTGGGATTCGAACCCACGCCCACAATGTGGACTGCGACCTGAACGCAGCGCCTTAGACCGCTCGGCCATCCTGACACTGTACGCTGATTGGTATTGTATTAATACGGACTACAGAACAACATTTGAACGTGTGAGTGAGCAACTTTTGTACTGTAAAAATTATTCGTCGAACAATTAATCAGGATCAACACGGTAATTACCAATCGAATGTTTCCTATTGTTTGATTTCAGCTGAGAAGCCCCACACAGGGGTTATGGAGCAGTAGAATTGCGAAAGATTAATGTTTGAAGGAATTACGAATCATTTTATGGGGGATGCGTAAACCAGATTTTTTAGATAATAAAAATAAAAATTCGCGTATCGTTGATTCGATTTTTGGTGATATAAGAAGAAATCGTGAATAGTTCTCAGCGACGAATCGCGTACAACAGTCGCCCAAAATACCCGGTTCGAGCGTACGGCGACGCGCTAGTATTTCTAGCCGCGCGAAGTAGATTCGATGTAGGACTCGAGGATCGCGTGATGTAAGCTTTTAGTAATCTCTAGAGGGGCTACGTGATTGCCTCTCGCCGCTCGAAGCTCTCGTGTTTTTTTTTTTTCTCGAGCTACCATAGTTGTGCTTGTTGTCACCCCGACCCCGCCGCTCCTCTTTCTGGACAGTACCATGACGGAAGAAAAATGGGATTACTTGCACGAGAAATGGGAACACATAGATCAGACGGTAAGCTCGGCTGCTGTTTCCTGCCCGTACTGGTCCGTGCCCTTGACCTTTTCCCCCCCGGTTGCGTAAGACGCGCGCGGACACTGCGCGAAAAAGCTCGTTAATTGGGCATGACGACGCTGGTAACTCGAACCCTTCCGCGAGATATCGGGTGACACGATTCCGTTAACCCGCAGAGGATACTCGTTAACTGACCAACTCGAAGACAAATTAAGACGGTCGAGTTTTCGTACAATTTTCGCGATGGAGCTTGGGAAATATTTCGATGTATTGTTCGGAGAGAAAAAATTCCGAAAAAATTATTCGAGAGCGCTTAGGCTTACGTTCCACCAATTAAACGTAAAATAACGAAAAATTAACACTGCAAGTAATTTTGCGTAATTTTTCGTGAGATGATTTTTAGTCAGTTTTTTGTAAGAGGTGGGAGGGGGGTTGAGGAGTTTCTCATTTCCATTTCTGGCTTTTTATTTGGGGGAACGTCGAGTTTGTCGGAAAATGGGTCGACGCGCTAGAAACGTTACGAAACAATATATGATTTCGTGTCGCTTTTGGCGACCGTCGGCGATCTTGGAACGAGGACACGGTCGTAAATTCGTGACGAAGCTCACGTGGTGGCCAGTCGAGATGAAAGAGAAAGGAAGAACGAGAGCCAGTTATGCTGAGCTTTCATTCATGATTTTTCGCACGTACGACTACAGCTGTAAACAATATTGGTAGCGTTGTAAACATCGTCCCGTTCAGACTTTGCATTCCACAGAATTTTTAACCTCCGGGTTTATCGGGATTTTGGCCGTTTTAATTTTCTACGTTATTGTTACGTATTTATTATTAATATTATCTATTAACGGGGCCGTTCCCTTCGTTCGTTCTAACCTTATCGTATTGGTAAACATGACTCAGCTTGTGATATCAATTGCACTATCTTCCAGCAAATTAATTTTTATTTAATCGTTTGTATATTTGTTACAGCTATACACCCATCGTGGTTTAGAAACTAATTTTTTTATGTTCTGACTATTTTGAAAGAAGTAATTTTAATCGTTAAATGTAGCAATGAAACAGAAAATTATAAATTGCATCTAAATTCGTAGAATCGAAAATACTGTTTCTTCATATCGCGAGTCTATTTTGAAAATATCGTCCGTTCTAGTTCCGCGGGACACTCGGTATAATATAGCGCGTTCATTGAAGGATGTCGGGAAGAAGGGACGCGGGTCAGTAAGCTGAGATTATGCTGGCGAGGTGGCACGCGTGCTCTCTGCGCGTACGATTGAAAATCACATTCTTAATGATTGCAATAGCGTGTCACATGCAATGTTGCGCTCTCGAGGCCTCGAAATCGATCGACTCCGCTTCTACGACTCCGACGATCTAAGGTCGATCAACGTCGTTGAAAACAAGGAACAACTTTCTTTCGATCGCGTTAGCAAACGAGAGAATAAATTCTAGACAACCGTAAAATCTCGAGTTACTTCCAACGTTGCACTTTTTTAGTCAAAATTTTAAATACGATTTAAATATCAGATTCAGTCATTATATAAAAATTATTTCACTTTTTTTTTTACGAAAAAAAATGCGATAAAATCTTTACTTCTAAATACGAGTTGCGATGAATAAGATTTAATTATTATATAAAAATTATTGCACTTTTTTTTTACTAATTATTGCGTTTTGGATCCCGAGGAATTAACTGACGCGAATCTCGAAACGACAATAGCAGAGTCGATGGAACATCCGGTGTCTCTTTAATCTCCATTGGACGCGAACGTGATCCCGAGATAAAAAAACGGGATACAGCGAAGGAAAAAAGGTTGCACCGTCCTGAATAGATTGCACCTTTTGTGTTCTATTTATCGAGTCGCTTATAAACACGTGCACCGTGCTAAAAACGGATCGCGGGTTGGCGAGTCGACAGCAAAATCGAAGGTTATTCAGTAATTGTTAAAAATCTTTTTTTCTTTATTTCCGGTTGAAAATCAACCACAAGAGCAGAAAAATATAGCATTTTAAACTAAATCTCGCATTGTTGATTTTTCAACTCGATGTCTCGAGAAGCCAACTTTATTTTACAGAACTTGTCTGTCCCTGTTATCTTGTCGTCGAAGAGAATATTACCCGAAAACCCTCTCGAGTAAAATGGCGAGTCTCTTTTTTTATGGTACTCGTAAAGCTTTGTATCTAATTCGCCGAAAGCTATTTGCCGTCCTTATCGTTGCTCGATGTTAGTGCCCGCGGCTTACGGTTAAAGCAAAAAATGAGCAACGTTGTAAAGGGATCGATAAACGACTGTAATTAAAGCGTATCGCTCTGATATTGCACGTTAGGCTTTGAGTCGAATAAAAATGAGCGTTGTGGTTGGAATGTAGGGTATCATGTCTAGCCTTCGTAGTATAGGTGTTCCAGGAATTCTCGATTCCTGGTTCTCCAGGCATTGAGAAACAGCGTTGACAAGCGAGATGCAATTAAATGCTCGGTTAAGTGTCGAGGATAACTAGGCGACAGCTGCACGTGAATTGCTACAATTAGAAGTACAATACTATCCTCGACCGTAACAATCGTCTCATTTCCAAAGAGTATCTTTCCAGAACGTGTCTTGTAGGTTAGGATTAACTTGGACTATCCACTCTCTGTAGCACGAAACTCGGTGGAGGTCTGACGATCGTAGTAAAAAGCATCGAAAAGATTTATTTAACGCATTGACTGCCACGTCACCTATATTTGGGTGACAGAACATTAAACAGTGGAACTAAAAAAAAATCAATTTTAATAGGCTTCGTAAATTTGAATGAGGTTAGAAAAGTAACTATTACAACTTTTAAGTTGTGCAGTTTACAGTTGCCTGAAATCAGAGTTTTGATACCGTAAACAATTTTAGGATTTTAGACTGGCATTCAACGTGTTAAGGACACCGTTTCGAAGTCACCAGTGTTTACGTGCACTGTCCTTGAAAGACAGGAGAAACAGGCTAGCCCAAACTCTCATGAGAAACTCGGTGTCCGAGTGACTTCTTATCGATCGCGTTCCACCGGAACGTTTAAATTTGGCGAGTTAATTTGTCGAGATCGAGACGGTATTAGGGCCAGTTAGGTTCACACAGGCAGTCAACACCATTGTAGAGAGCGTCACGGGTATCGTGTTTCAGTTCGACGGCCTCGATTCCGGGAATTGCGTTTCATTTGTTCGAGCTGGAATCGTCGTGACGGTTAAGCGATGGGGAGCCTTGACCGTGGAATTTTCGCTCAGGCGCAATGGGGGCCAACTGTCGCCGGGGTGGGGGGAGGGAGGAGTTCAACGGAGAAACTCCGCGCGTGCACACGTATGTTGTGATACGCTGAACCGGAGATGTTTCTTTCTCCGCGTCCAATAATCGAGATTCATGCGGCGTATCGATAAGCCAAAGGTCGAGAAGGAACGCGAAAAGATCGGTTTGCGTTCGTCAGTTTTACGCTGACAGGAAGCGTGCCGGGTGTCGAAAGGGTTCAGTGGGTCAAGGCTCGATATGAAGACCAAGAACAGGTCCTTCTTCAGCAGGATGTGCAAGTGCTATGGCAAATCGGAGGCGACGGGTACAGCGGGGGTTCGGGCCGCGGACGAACCGTCGGGATTGACAGTCACCGACGAGGTAATCATCATTTGGTCGAAACTATCAGGAAGAACTTAATAAGTCCAACTATCTATATATAGCACTTTAAAGTGAAAATTATTGCATTTGCCATCGTGTAAGTTCTATGTAGATTCTGAAACGGTTCTGAATCCTTGGAAACATACATCGTACATACCTTGAAAAAATAATTCTGATTGGATGAATTTTTATTTGAACGATGTTACGCGAACAGTATACCGACGGAGATTGTATGCACATAAGTACGGAATCTATCTGACGATTAGTCACTTCCTACGCAATCTATCTTTCTTCCTGTTGCTGAATCAGGCATATAATTTGCATCTATGATTCATCCGAGAGCAATGGGACGTCGATCATAGGTAACCGTCGAGTTTCTCGCGCGTTTCTAAACT